CGCTCCCCCATCGACTCCGCTTGCACCTCTCGCGGAGCTGGAGTACAGGAGTCGATGGGAGAGTGCTCGGGGGTCGATTTATCACGTCTAGACTAGGTGAATTCAGGTATTGGCCACTGTACGGGGTGGAGGGCAGTGTTTGAGTAGGTGCTGCGGCTGGAGGAGAAAGCTCAGCTGATGGCACTGTATTTTGTTTTTGTAATTGGCAGGGCACCCAGAGCTTGTGAGCAGGTGCTTTTTATTTCTTCTCAGTCAAAATAAATTAACAAATAAACTTCTTTACTAGTCACCTATGAAGACATGTTGAATGACCCATGCTAGTGTTAGTCCAAGCTCCAAAACCTCCCCAAGTTTTTGAGCCTGCTTGATAAAGAGTGGAAGATTTCAGTAACAGTGTATCTGTAGTGAAGATTAAGTCCATATTAGCTTTACCCTGCCAGCTGGAATTACCTGCTTTTTATCAGGTTCCTATCTTAACCACACACTTCGGAAGCAAAGAGAAGCTCAACCTTTAACAATCCGCTGCTGCTTTCCTAACAAGCTTACAGAACTTGCTACATACCATTTGATAAAAGTAAAGGCATTAGACTGTTTACATCAATAAACTGGCCTGCAACATAATCCAAAACTGACATAAACTCAACAAAACTTTTCAACACCTTGTCATGACGGAACATAGCCAAGTAATCAATGCTATCACCCAGCAAATCTAGACATTTATGAGCCATAAAAAGAAATCACCCCATTCTGGACTTCTCTGTTAACATTCAATCCAAGTGGTTGAAGCAAAGCCACAATTTCTTTTGTTTCTTTATGTTGTTTTGGTTATATGTTTATTTGTGGATTCCCCCATTTGGAAGGTGTTGCCATGGAAAGTACACCACCAGCTCAGCATTAGCATTTTTTTTCCCCTCAAGCTGGGTGTGGTTCTCAAAATGTTTAGTTTGCCAAATGTTTGGTATCCTGTCCTCACTGTTTTGTTTCAGAGTTGCGTACAGTGTGTTCTAGGGATTCCCCATGGAAACAAACCAAGATTGTCCACTAAAAAGCAATTTTAAAAGATCAGTTGAATAAAGTTTTGGGTGTCCAGTTTTGGGCCCCACACTACAAGAAGGATGTGGATAAATTGGAGAGAGTCCAGCGAAGGGCAACAAAAATGATTAGGGGTCTGGAACACATGACTTATGAGGAGAGGCTGAGGGAGCTGGGATTGTTTAGCCTGCAGAAGAGAAGAATGAGGGGGGATTTGATAGCTGCTTTCAACTACCTGAAAGGGGGTTCCAAAGAGGATGGCTCTAGACTGTTCTCAATGGTAGCAGATGACAGAACGAGGAGTAATGGTCTCAAGTTGCAGTGGGGGAGGTTTAGATTGGATATTAGGAAAAACTTTTTCACTAAGAGGGTGGTGAAACACTGGAATGCGTTACCTAGGGAGGTGGTAGAATCTCCTTCCTTAGAGGTTTTTAAGGTCAGGCTTGACAAAGCCCTGGCTGGGATGATTTAACTGGGAATTGGTCCTGCTTCGAGCAGGGGGTTGGACTAGATGACCTTCTGGGGTCCCTTCCAACCCTGATATTCTATGATTCTATGAAAGAAAGTTGACCACCCATAAACCTGAGAACCAACTGGAATTGTCATTTTAACCCTCTCACTCCTCTGAAATATAGGGGGATTAATTTTAATATTCTTTCTTCTAATTTCATACCCAAATTCTTATTGATTTTCTTCTTCACAGGAGTATCTAAGGAAATTGTAGACAAGTGCAAGTTATTTTGTCTCTGCCAAAAGCAAATTCTGATATATCATTGAAAAGATGTAGGGCCCAATTCTAATCACAGTTACAGCAGTATAAATCTGGAGTAAATCCAGTTATTTAAGGATTTACACTGCACTACTTGTGATTAGAATCAGGCTTTCTTTTCTGTGAAGTTTGTATAAGTTATAATAACTGTCTGGCAGCACACATGGCTCTGGGCAGTTCAAACTTCAACATAAATAACAAGAGTGTTTCAACTTTTCCGCTTTCAATTTGTCAAACTAGAACCCATTAGATCTTACCAATGATTGATTCTCGATCCTAAAGTCTGAATAATATAATACACCAGTCTCAATACCTACCCTAAATATTGCAGCCCACCTCTTTAGTAAATTCTGAAGATACTAAACGTCTGTGAGAAGCTTTCCCTAAGGCTTTTGATTCTGACATCAGCACCAAATGTATTTTTCAAGAGTGATTTCAAAGAGCTCTGGTAAAATCCCTGCAACTGCAACTAATTACAATTCAAAGACATTTGAAGCCATTCAGGTAGTCTTAATCTATCAATCTCAAACAGCAAAGGTGAAAAAAATCTAGGACATGATGATGCCAGAGAGTAAAGATGCTTATATAACAGAGTAAATTGAAATCAAATATCACTGCACTTGTTCAGAGGGTATAACATATATAGGAGATTTGTTCTGTTGCATTTAGATCTTTTCTGGGTCTACAATATTCATCATTATTCCTACACCAACATAGTACTGTAGGTACTTAACAGACAGATGGTAGACAGGACCCTACCTCAAGGAGGAGGGTTGGGGCCTACATTAGACATGACAAAGAGGTAACAAACAAAGCAAAGAGTGGAGGGAAAGGACAGAATAAACGGAACATGGCAATTATGGAGTGATCCATCCTGTCATCCTCTCCCAGTTTCTGGCATTCAGAGGTCTAGGGACACCCAAAGCATGTCACTGCATCCCTGACCATCTTGGCTAATAGCCATCAATGAACCTATCTTCCATTAAATAATCTAATTCTTTTTTGAACCCAGTTATGCTTTTGGCCTTCACAATATCCCCTGGCAACGAGTTCTACAGGTTGACTGCATTGTGTGAAGAAATACTTCCTTTTGTTTGTTTTAAACCTTTTGGCTATTAATTTAATTGCTCTGGTTCTCGTGTTATGTGAAGGGATAAATAACACTTCCTGATTCACATTCTCTACACCACTAATGATTTACATATTCCCTTAGTCGTCTCACTTCTAAACTGAGCAGTCCCAGTCCTTTTAATCTCTTCTCACTGAGTCATTCTGTTGAATTTAGTGTCCCCTTTTAGTTACATTAGAATAAAACTTCTAAGACAATTGACAAATAATTAAAACAATGTATCTTGGGCCAGCTTCTAATCTGCTGCATCTATATCATCAGCCCCTTCAAGTGGATAGAGTTGCAAGGGCATAGCTGAGGGCAGAATGGTGCCCCTTCATAGCCTTCTAAAGCCTATATACCATCCATAGACACAACTGGTAATTAATAGACATCTGAGGATTTTTAAATCTATGTTTTCATTTGAGCAGTATGTATTCCTATGTGGGACATAACATTTAAAAAATTGTAGCAAATACATTTATTTATTCTGATTAATTTGTACTGTTTGCAGTATATTAGTGCCCACAGTCCCCAATAAGAAAAGGAGTACTTGTGGCACCTTAGAGACTAACCAATTTATTTGAGCAGTCCAGTGGCAGAGCCAGGAATAGAACCCAGATCTAGACTTGGACTCACTTCGACAGGTTTCAGAGTAGCAGCCGTGTTAGTCTGTATTTGCAAAAAGAAAAGGAGTACTTGTGGCACCTTGGAGACGAACACATTTATTTGAGCATAAGCTTTCGTGAGCTACAGCTCACTTCATCGGATGCATCACGAAAGCGTATGCTCAAATAAATGTGTTAGTCTCCAAGGTGCCACAAGTACTCCTTTTCTTTTTGCAAATACAGACTAACATGGCTGTTACTCTGAAACCAGTCCCCAGTAAGGGTCAATTCGGGCCCACTTGGTTAGGTATGTACACACACATACTAAGATTCAGTCATGCCCTGAAGGTATTTTAAAAAATGCAGTACAACGGGTACCAGTTTGGCAAGTTTGGTACAGCATTTCACATACCTTTCAGAAAGAGATTAAGTTGCCTTTTTGCTGAACCCTGAAGCTAAATCTGTTGCTGAGTGTTGCTACCTGCCTTCTGAGTGAAGGGAGCTGGGGCACTGTGAGCATATCACACCTGAGTTCTATTCTGTTCATGGGCTCTCTCTGCTTCTGGGTGCAATTCTAGGTGCTAGTCACAACCAGTGATACCAACAATAGCCTGGGACCTGGTTACTTGAGAAATTGCTTCTGCCTTTTATGTTTCTTAATTTTTGTGACTATCTGATGCAGCATTTTTGGAGTTGGTTCTTGGGATAGAACTCTCTAGGTCTGGTAACAGGGCAGTCTCATCAGAAGGACTCAAGGCTCAACCCTGCAAAAAGCTGAGCATTGCGATCAAGCAAAGTGTTTAACCATATGGGGTATCTTTACACGGGGCTAAAAAACCCACAGCTGGCCCGGGTCAGCTGATTCCGGCACATGTGGCTTGGGCTCCTGGGGCTAAAAAACTGCCATGTAGATGTTCAGGCTCGGGCTCCAGCCCACACCCAAATGTCTACACAGCAATTTTTAGCCCTGCAGCCCAAGGCCCCAATATAGATCAGGCAACAGCAACCGCCGACATTTTAAACCATTTTATGTAGACCTGCTCTGAGCAGCATTAAATGACACTGTCATGGTTACAGGTCTGGCTGCACCTCTGTCCCCTTTGTGGCCTCTCTGAGGTCTTGTCTACACTTAAAACACTACAGCGGTACAGCTACACTGCTTCAGTGCAGACACTACTTACGCTGAGGGGAGGGGTTCTCCATCGGCCTATGTAATCCACCTCCCCAAAAGGTAGTAGCTAGGTTGATGGAAGAATTCTTCCATCAACCTAGCTCTGTCTTACTTACTTAGGTTGGCTTAACAATGCCACTTAGGGGTGTGGATTTTTCACATCCCAGACTAACGTAGTTAAACCAACATAATTTTTAGTGTAAACTAGGCCTGAGCATACCCCCTCCTGGTATTGAGCTTCATACCTTTACTTATTCCAGGGTGGAATCCCATGATTCCCCTACTCCTAGGCTGGGCCCTGAGTTACAGTACCTTATGCATCAATTGTTGTTATCCAGCAGATCCAAGTGAATTCAGGCACCAATGCTTCAGGAGTCTCTGACAGTGACAAAACAGCCTTCTTAACAAAGTATTGTTTATTTTGCATTAGAAACAAAGCATTTAGAGAAAAAGGTTTTTTAAAACAACAGTCTATGTACATACCTGCCTTACCTAAAGTCTTACCTACCCTGATGATAACCTATGCAGGCCTAATTTCTAGGGCTGTCAAGTGATTAAAAAAATTAATCGCGATTAATCGCAACGTTAAACAATAATAGAATACCATCTATTTTAAATATTTTTGGATGTTTTCTACATTTTCAAATATATTGATTTCAATTATAACACAGAATACAAAGTGTACAATGCTCACTTTATATTTATTTTTGATTACAAATATTTGCACTATAAAAACCAAAAGATATAGTATTTTTCTGTTCACCTAATAACAGTACTGTAGTACAAACTCTTTATTGTGAAAGTTGAACTTACAAATGTAGAATTATGTACAAAAATATAACTGCATTCACAAATAAAACAATGTAAAACTTCAGAGCCTACAAGTCCATTCAGTCCTATTTCTTCTTCAGCCAATCGCTCAGACAAACAAGTTTGTTTACATTTGCAGGAGATAATGCTGCCCGCTTCTTGTTCACGACGTCACCTGAAAGCGAGAACAGGTGTTCTCATGGCACTTTTGTAGCTGGTGTCACAAGATATTTATATGCCAGATGTGCTAAGGATTCATATGTCCCTTCATGCTTCAACCACCATTCCAGAAGACATGCGTCCATGCTGATGATGAGTTCTGTTCAATAACACTCGAAAGCAGTGCGGACCAACGCATGTTCATTTTCGTCATCTGAGTCAGATGCCACCAGGAGGTTGATTTTCTTTTTTGGTGGTTCAGGTTCTGTAGTTTCCACATCTGAGTGTTGCTCTTCTAAGACTTCTGAAAGCATGCTCCACACCTCATCCCTCTCAGATTTTGGAGGGCACTTCAGATTCTTAAACCTTGGATTGAGTGCTGTAGCTATCTTTAGAAATCTCACATTGGTACCTTCTTTGTGTTTTGTCAAGTCTGCAGCGAAAGCGTTCTTAAATTGAACAGGTGCTAAGTCATCATCCAAGACTACTATAACATGAAATATATGGCAGAATGCAGGTAAAACAGAGCCGGAGACATACAATTCTCCCCCAAGGAGTTCAGTCCAAATTTAATTAACATATTATTTTTTTAACAAGCGTCATCTGCATGGAAGCACGTCCTCTGGAATGGTGGCCAAAGCATGAAGGGGTGTACAAATGTTTAGCATATCTGGCAAGTAAATACCTTGCAATGCCGGCTACAAAAGTCCCATGCAAATGCTTGTTATCACTTTATGGTGACATTGTAAATAAGAAGTGGGCAGCATTATCTCCTGTAAATGTAAACAAACTTGTTTGTCTTAGCGATTGGTTGAACAAGAAGTAGGACTGAGTGGACTTATAGGCTCTAAAGTTTTGCATTGTTTTGAGTGCAGTTATGTAACAAAAAAAATCTACATTTGTAAGTTGTACTTTCACGATAAAGAGATTGCACTACAGTACTTGTATGAGGCGAATTAAAAAATACTGTTTCTTTTGTTTATCATTTTTACAGTGCAAATATTAGTAACCAAAAATAATGATATAAAGTGAGCGGTGCACACTTCGTATTCTGTGCTGTAATTGAAATCAATATATTTGAAAATGTAGAAAAACATCCAAAAATATTTTTAAAATTTCAATTGGTAGTCTATTATTTAACAGTTCGATTAATCGCGATTAATTTTTTTTAGTTAATCGCTTGAGTTAACTGCAATTAATCGACAGCCCTACTAATTTCTGCAAATACCCCAGTGTAGTCCCTGTTCCTGGTTCCTGCAGCCTGGTTGCTCCCAAACTACACCTTTCTGGCTTATTTTGAGCCATCTTTTTCCTTCCTGCTTGTCTTTCCTTACAGCTCCCTACTAAACTATACCAATACACTCACATAGTAAATACCCGCAATCAACATACAGCAGTGCTTCTCAACCAGGGGTCCGGGGCCCCTTGGGGGGCCATGAGCAGGTTTCAGGGGGGCCACCAAGCAGGACCAGCATTAGACTCGCTCTGCCCCAGGGTAGAAAGTTGAAGCCCCACCGCATGCTGCTGAAGCCTAGGGCCCTGAGCCCCACCACTGAGGGCTGAAGCCAAAGCCTGAGCAATGTAGCTTTGTGGGGGCCCCTGTGGCATGGGGCCCCAGTCAATTGCCCTGCTTGCTATCCCCCTAACGCCTTCCCTGGCTTTTATATGCAGAAAACCAGTTATTGTGGCACAGGTGGGCCGTGGAGTTTCTACAGCATGTTGGGGGGGGGGGGAGGGGGCATCGACTCAAAGAAAAAAAGTTGAGAACCCCTGACATACAGCACTCATACATGTTTACAGAGCAGCACCTATTCCACCACAGACACCATGATTAAAGCGCCTGCGCCCTGGCTACACTAGTGCTAATATAACAGAGATTTTAAGAACAAATGAATCACAGTCTCTATGACTTAGTTTCTGCTCTGATAACAGGGAGTTATGAGGATTAATTCATTCACATCAGTAAGGCACCCGGAGATCTAAAGCTGGAGGAGTGGGGCATAGCAAGGCTGCTACCTGCCCTACCGTTTGCAGGACTGTCCAGACTTTCTCGTCTTGTGACATGCACGGAAGCATCTCAACTATTGAAGCAAGACTGCGCTGCGGTGGGATGTGACCTGCCACAACATTATCGTTCTGGGGGACGATGCAGCAATGTGCAAAACCTCTATTTCAGAGTCAGACTGTAGGACAGACAGAGGGAAAGTCAAAGGGAGGGACAACAGGACAGGAGTAGGCACGGCGAGAATCAAAGGCACAGACAGATGGAGGAACATGCAATGAAACTCTACGGGCCAGTGACATACAGACAGGAAGCCAGAGACAGACAGACAGGGGGTACAGATAATCTACCAGCAGGGCCAGACAGAGGGGGGGACAGAGACAGACAGACGGGGGGACAGACAGACGGAGGGTCTAGGGGCAGGACGGACAGACAGGGGGGCAGACAGACGGAGGGTCTCAGGGCAGGACAGACATACCGGGGGGACGGACAGATGGAGGGTCTAGGGGCAGGATGGACAGACGGAGGGTCTGGGGCAGGACGGACAGACGGGGGGACGGACAGACAGACGGAGGGTCTCCGCGCAGGACGGACAGACGGGGGGACAGACAGACAGACAGAGGGTCTGGGGCAGGACGGACAGACAGGGGGGCAGACAGACGGAGGGTCTCAGGGCAGGACAGACATACCGGGGGGACGGACAGATGGAGGGTCTAGGGGCAGGATGGACAGACGGAGGGTCTCGGGGCAGGACGGACAGACGGGGGGACAGACAGACGGAGGGTCTTGGGGCAGGACGGACAGACGGGGGGACAGACAGACGGAGGGTTTAGGGACAGGGCCAGATAGACCGGGCACAGACAATGAGAGTGCACGGGCCAGGCCAGACAGACAGACAGACGGACAATCTACCGGCAGCACAAGCCAAGGCGGGGAGGCAGAGAGGGGATAAGGCCGGAGGGGCGCCGAGCTCCCACCCAGGGCCCCGGGGCTGCCAGCTCCGCCCCCCGCCCTGGGCTCTGGCCGCCCGCCGAGCGGGCGTGCCCGGCGGCCGCGTAGGCCCGGGGAGGGCGGGCCCGGCGGAGGCAGGGCCAGGCCCCGGCCCCGGGGGGGCCTGCGGCGGGGCCGGGATTGGCGCAGGGCGGACGCGGCGCTGTCGGCCCCGCGAAGATGCCGCTGCAGCTGCTGCGAAGGGCCCTGGCGGCCTCGGCCCAGCGCCTCCGCCCGCCCGCCGCCCCCTGCGCCGAGCCGCGCGGGGCGAGGCCCTGCAGCCTGGCCGCCTGCTCCTCCTACCGCCTCCGCGACGCCCGTGAGTCCGACCCGCGGGTCCCCCGGGCCATGCGCCCCAGAGCCCCTCGGCCCGGGATAGTCCCTCCTCGGGGGCCCCCGTTCTCCGGGATGGTGCGCGGGGCCTCCCCCCGAGACACCCTGCACCCGCTGCCCGGTAACCCCCCGGCATCCTGCCGCAGCCTCTGCCTGCGGGGGCACCCAGCACTTGTTGTCCCCTGGAAACCTCCAGGCCCCCTGAACCGCTCTGCCCCAGGGCAGCCCCTGCACCCCGGCCCCTCCCCTGGGCACCCTGCACCCTCTCTGGGGGTCTCCAGGGCACTCGGCACGGCCCGACACCCAGGGTGGAAGCATTCAGCCCCCCTCCTGCAGGTCTCTCGCTCCCCCATCACATCCTGGGCTGATGCAGCCGCAGGCTCAGCCCCCTTGTCAACAACATTCTTCTCCTCCTGCAGAATTGGTCTGGTTTAACATCACCACTTTTTCTGTCTCTGTTTAATTTTAAACTCACGTTTGAAGTTCCACGTTTTTTGATAGACTGACTGTTCTTCAAAAGTTACATAGAAGGGGCTGAGATTTACAGCAGCTTGTTAATTACACTTTCCCGATTACAGGTTTCAGAGTAGCAGCCCTGTTAGTCTGTATCCCCAAAAAGAAAAGGAGGACTTGTGGCACCTTAGAGACTAACCAATTTATTTGAGCATCCGATGAAGTGAGCTGTGTAGCTCACGAAAGCTTATGCTCAAATAAATTGGTTAGTCTCTAAGGTGCCACAGGTCCTCCTTTTCTTTTTCCTGATTACAGTGTCCAGAAACAGTGTTAACAATAATAGGAGAAAAATGTGTGCATTTCCTCTAGAGCTGGGGTTCTCAGACTTTTGTACTGGTGACCCCTTTCACACAGCAAGTCTCTGAGTTATAAGTTAAAAACATATATTTTTAATATATTTAACACCATTATAAATGCTGGAGGCAAAGCAGGGTTTGGGGTGGAGGGTGACAGCTCGCGACCCCCCCATGTAATAACCTCGCAACCCTCTGAGGGATCCCAACCCACCCTGCTGTAGAGGTGAGGTCCTGATTGGGGACTGGCTGATCTATAAGTGAGCTGCAGCGCTGCAAGCTTCCTCAGGAGCAGTGACCTTCAGTGAGCCCAGGTTCTTGTTGAGAGGCTAGAGGGAAAACAGTGTAGTCACCTGTCACATGAATGGTCTGTTACAATATTTAAGCTTTCCTTTCACAGAAAAGAAAATAAGGCAGGTAAATTTGTACAATTTTTTTAAATAAAGTATCTGAGCCCATCTCACCTCCAAGATTTTTATGGTTAATTTTCAGACCAATTGGTAAATGACCAGAAATTTGTCGGTGGACCTCCAGGGATCCACCGACTATGAGAACCACTGTCCTTCAGTCATTTAGCACCTGCAACTTCCCAGATCCAGGCAGGTTTTGTCAGGCTCCTGATTCTCATTTCCTTACATGAGTTGAATCTGATTCTCTGGAAATTGAGTACATGCGTAGGTCCCTATCCTGCGAGTTGATCTGCCTCGGCAGTTAGTGGGGCTCCTTGCAGGCACAAAGATCTGCCTTTTTCTTCCACCTTGTGAGATCAGTGATGATGCTGTAATAAGTGCTTTAAAAGCGCTTAATAGGGATCCATTTCCAGCCATGTGCCACATAAACAGAGGAGGGTGATGGGAAAAGACCCAGTTTTTATGGAGCCCTCCAAAGAATATTCTTGTTCTGAATTGGCAGTTTACCTGCTGCCTCTGGAGCTGAGCTGATATCAGTTGGTCATACTGGTATGTAAGGAGGCTTGGCAGAATTCAATTTTTTTTTCTAATTGTGATGATTTTTTTCAATTTTCAATTTTTTTTTCTATTTTTAACTTTGTTTTTACAGTTGCGGGGGATGGGGTAGTGCATTGCTGACCATGGGACTGCAGGGGACTCCCTGTGCAGCAGAGAGGCCCAAAACACTGAGCCCTGGTCTACACTAGGACTTTAGGTCGAATTTAGCAGCGTTAAATCGATTTAAACCTGCACCCGTCCACACAATGAAGCCCTTTATTTCGACTTAAAGGGCTCTTAAAATCGATTTCCTTACTCCACCCCTGACAAGTGGATTAGCGCTTAAATCGACGTTGCCGGCTCGAATTTGGGGTACTGTGGACACAATTCGATGGTATTGGCCTCCGGGAGCTATCCCAGAGTGCTCCATTATGACCGCTCTGGACAGCACTCTCAACTCAGATGCACTGGCCAGGTAGACAGGAAAAGAACCGCGAACTTTTGAATCTCATTTCCTGTTTGGCCAGCGTGGCAAGCTGCAGGTGACCATGCAGAGCTCATCAGCACAGGTGACCATGATGGAGTCCCAGAATCGCAAAAGAGCTCCAGCATGGACCGAACGGGAGGTACGGGATCTGATCGCTGTTTGGGGAGAGGAATCCGTGCTATCAGAACTCCGTTCCAGTTTTCGAAATGCCAAAACCTTTGGCATGAAGGACAGAGGCCATAACAGGGACCCGAAGCAGTGCCGCGTGAAACTGAAGGAGCTGAGGCAAGCCTACCAGAAAACCAGAGAGGCGAACAGCCGCTCTGGGTCAGAGCCCCAAACATGCCGCTTCTATGATGAGCTGCATGCCATTTTAGGGGGTTCAGCCACCACTACCCCAGCCGTGTTGTTTGACTCCTTCAATGGAGATGGAGGCAATACGGAAGCAGGTTTTGGGGACGAAGAAGATGAGGAGGAGGAGGAGGTTGTAGATAGCTCACAGCAAGCAAGCGGAGAAACCGGTTTTCCCGACAGCCAGGAACTGTTTCTCACCCTAGACCTGGAGCCAGTACCCCCCGAACCCACCCAAGGCTGCCTCCTGGACCCACCAGGCGGAGAAGGGACCTCTGGTGAGTGTACCTTTTAAAATACTATACATGGTTTAAAAGCAAGCATGTGAAAGGATTACTTTGCCCTGGCATTTGCGGTTCTCCTAGATGTAGTCCTAAAGCCTTTGCAAAAGGTTTCTGGGGAGGGCAGCCTTATTGCGTCCTTCATGGTAGGACACTTTACCACTCCAGGCCAGTAACACGTACTCGGGAATCATTGTAGAACAAGTTTCAGAGGAACAGCCGTGTTAGTCTGTATTCGCAAAAAGAAAAGGAGTACTTGTGGCACCTTAGAGACTAACCAATTTATTTGAGCATGAGCTTTCGTGAGCTACAGCTCACTTCATCAGATGTATACCGTGGAAACTGCAGCAGACTAAAGCATTGCAGTGTATGTTTGCTGGCATTCAAACAACATCCGTTCTTTATCTCTCTGTGTTATCCTCAGGAGAGTGAGATATAATTCATGGTCACCTGGTTGAAATAGAGTGCTTTTCTTCAGGGGACACTCAGAGGAGCCCATTCCTGCTGGGCTGTTTGCCTGTGGCTAAACAGAAATGTTCCCCGCTGTTAGCCACAGGGAGGGGGGAAGGTTGAGGGAGTAGTCACGCGGTGGGAGGAGGCAAAATGCGACCTTGTAACGAAAGCACATGTGCTATGTATGTAATGTTAACAGCAAGGTTTACCCTGAAAGAGTGTAGCCACTGTTTTATAAAATGTGTCTTTTTAAATACCGCTGTCCCTTTTTTTCTCTCCACCAGCTGCATGTGTTTCAATGATCACAGGATCTTCTCCTTCCCAGAGGCTAGTGAAGCTTAGAAAGAAAAAAAAACGCACTCGCGATGAAATGTTCTCCGAGCTCATGCTGTCCTCCCACACTGACAGAGCACAGACGAATGCGTGGAGGCAAATAATGTCAGAGTGCAGGAAAGCACAAAATGACCGGGAGGAGAGGTGGCGGGCTGAAGAGAGTAAGTGGCGGGCTGAAGAGAGTAAGTGGCGGGCTGAAGACAGGGCTGAAGCTCAAATGTGGCGGCAGCGTGTTGAGAGGAGGCAGGATTCAATGCTGAGGCTGCTGCAGGACCAAACCAGTATGCTCCAGTGTATGGTTGAGCTGCAGCAAAGGCAGCTGGAGCACAGACTGCCACTGCTGCCCCTCTGTAACCAACCGCCCTCCTCCCCAAGTTCCATAGCCTCCACACCCAGATGCCCAAGAACGCGGTGGGGGGGCCTCCGGCCAACCAGCCACTCCACCACAGAGGATTGCCCAAAAAAAAGAAGGCTGTCATTCAATAAATTTTAAAGTTGTAAACTTTTAAAATGCTGTGCTTAAAGTGCTCTGTGGCATTTTCCTTCCCTCCTCCACCACCCCTCCTGGGATACCTTGGTAGTCATCCCCCTATTTGTGTGATGAATGAATAAAGAATGCATGAATGTGAAGCAACAATGACTTTATTGCCTCTGCAAGCGGTGATTGAAGGGAGGAGGGGCGGGTGGTTAGCTTACAGGGAAGTAGAGTGAACCAAGGGGCGGGGGGTTTCATCAAGGAGAAGCAAACAGAACTTTCACACCGTAGCCTGGCCAGTCATGAAACTGGTTTTCAAAGCTTCTCTGATGCGTACCGCGCCCTCCTGTGCTCTTCTAACCGCCCTGGTGTCTGGCTGCGCGTAACCAGCAGCTAGGCGATTTGCCTCAACCTCCCACCCCGCCATAAACGTCTCCCCCTTACTCTCACAGATATTGTGGAGCACACAGCAAGCAGTAATAACAGTGGGAATATTGGTTTCGCTGAGGTCTAAGCGAGTCAGTAA